TCCCCCTCCTCCTGGCCTGCCCCCCTTCTGCAGAAACTCACTCACAGGTGTTTCCACCTGCGATCCCGGGCATGCAAGGGCCCTGTGGTGGAGAGGCGCCCCCTGCCTGGGACCCAGGGAGCCCAGGTGGCCTCTGGAGTCACCTGTGGGGGAGGGGTCGGGCCAGGAGCCTGCCTTCCTGACCCTTCTCTGCGGGGTGTGCTGGGGGGTGGTGTGGCCCCTCCTTGGGCTTGGGCAGTGGCCCCATGTCCCTCACCAGGCAGCAGGGCAGGGGAGCCCGCCTCCCGGGGCTCCTTGAACCCCACTTGGCTCCAGGGAGTTTCTGGAATGAGCCCCTCTTCCTGGGCTCCCCTCTCCCCCTACTTATGGATGGAAATACAGACCCCCCGGCAGGACCAGGGCAGGGCTGGGTGGTCAGTCCTGCTGCCTTGCCAAGGGTGGCCACGGCTGCCCCCCCCCCACGTTTGCCAGGGCTCATACAAGCCTGGCCTCTTCCCTGGGCTTGTCTCTGGTGCTCCTCACATCCGGGGCACACCTGGCTCCTGTCCTTAGCTGTATGAGGGGCAGGTGGCCTGACCTGACCACCCTGATGGCATGCGGCTTCCTCCTTCATTAGAGGTCACCTGGCCCAAGGAGCCAGCTCTAGGCCCTTGGAGAGGAGGGAGGGAGGGAGGAAGGGAGAGGGAGGGAGGGGGGGAATCTCCATCAAGGGGCTGAGGAAACGCTGCCCCCTGGTGTTCAGGAGAGATCAAGCGTGTGAACGGCTAAAAAGTCTTTTTTTCAGACCTGCAACAACCTAACCACTTTCTTAATTTGACATAGTTCAATAGCCACTTGAAAAAAAATGATAAGAAGCTAATTTAAAAACACAGATTTTGAGCAATGCATCCAAAATGTTACTCACATATTTCCTTCGTTAACGCAGAAATAATGTTAATCATGTGTGGCAATGCACGGCGGTAATTTCAGCCACTCTGTGGGTAAAGGCATGAGGATGGAGGTCCAAGGCTGGCCCTCGGGTCAAAACTTGAGTCTTTATCAGAAAGGCAACTAAAGGAACACCAAAGGCTGGGGGCGTGGCCCAGGGTGTGGAGCACCTGCCTAGCAAGTACAAGGACCTGGGTGCAAACTCTGCCAAAAAATGTACTCATGAAATACTTCATGCTTCTTGTTAATGTTGAGTGTGCAACTAGGCTTGCCTGTTTATACTCATCGGCAGCCTTAGTCTGGACTTGTGCCTTTCAGGTACTTCATGGCCTGGCCTGTGGCTGCTGGGCAGGAGCGTGTGGCTTTAGATCCCCTGGGGACCCAGTCTGTCATACCTCCCCACCCCCCAAGGCTGCTGGGAGCCAAGTATCTGGGCACATCTCAGAGTATTCGTGGGTGGGCAGAGGGGAACAATCCCTGCGGAGTCCCTGTCTCTCACAAGTCAGGCAGATGTGGAGAGGCTGAGAGCAACGCAGGTCAGCTGGTCCATCTCCTGATTTGTGGATGAAAATCAGGTGCAGAGAAATGCACCTCACACTGTAGTTGGCAAGTTGTGTGAGCACCCTGGCCCTCATCCCAGCCACCTCTCCAAACCCATGGTGGCCAGGGCAGCAGCCAGAGGCCTGCTGGTGGCTCTTGGCCCGATCCTGTCCGCCACAAAAAGAGAGGCTCAAGCTGGGCGCTGGTGGCTCACACCTCTAATCCCAGCAACTCAGGAGGCTGAGGTCTGAGGATTGTGGTTCAAAGCCAGCCTGGGCAGGAAAGTCTGAGAGACTCTTATCTCCATTAAACCACCAGAAAACAGGAAATGGTGCTGTGGCTCAAGTGGTAGAGCGCTCGTCTTGAGCTGAAGAGCTGAGGGACAGTGCCCAGGCCCAGAGTTCAAGCCCCATGACTGACAAAGGGTGGGCAGGGAGGGAGGCTCGAATTCAACAACTGGTAGCTGTGGAAAACAGCACCTGTGCAGGTGAAAGCTAGTGAGCATTAAGCCATGCCACCGGCCCCCAACCCAACACCACACGTGGAGGAAGGGACAGCAATATGGCTGCAAGCCAGACACGCCTAGACGGGAGCCGAAAAGGCTGGGCAGCCCCCGGGGAGCCCCACGGGCGCCTGTGCTGGCTTCTGCCCCTCCTGGGATTTGCAGTGAGGTTCGCCCCCCAAGCTGGCTTTGGGGAGGGTTTCAAGTCACAATTCCTTTGTTTTCTGGGGAGAGGGCCCCCAACGCAGCTGCGAGATGCCCCACATTTATTTGTTTGTACATACTGGGACTTGAACTCAGGGTCTTGTTCCCTCCCTTAGCTTTTTGCTCAAGGCTGGTGCTCTACCACTTAAGCTATACCTCCATGCCTGGCTTTTTTTGAGTAGTTTATTGGAGTAAGCATCTCACCACCTTTCCTGCCAGGGCTGGCTTTGACCCGCCATCCTCGGATCTCATCCTTCCGAGTAGCTGGGACTACAGGCGTGAGCCCATGCTCTCGCAGAGTCCCTGGGGGCGGAAAGCCCTCCGTGGCCCGGGGAGGGGCTGTGGTCAGCATCCTTGTGAGAGGAGCTGGGGATGGTTCCGGGGGATGCATCCTTGCTCCGCGCGGAGGCGCTGACCGGCCCAGACATGTGGGGGCCTGCTGGGGGAGCGGGGGCTGGAATGGCCTGCAGGGCAGCACTTGGGAAAAGCCGGGCGCCTCAGGCAGGCCTGGGCGGGTGGAGGTGGAGCAGGGCCGCGCCCCCCCCCCCCCGATCCCCGCTCACAAGCCTTTCCCTCCCCAGGTGACTGTCCGCAGGCCGTGGAGACAGACGGCGGCGGTACGTACCACCCTCCCTAACCCTCACATGCACCCCAGTCCCGGCCGAGTCCAAGGGCACAGACCCCCGGCCCCCTGTCCCCTCAGCCCTCTCCCCCTCCCTGGCCTCCCAGCCCCCACTCTGCCCACGGGCTCACCCCTGCAGACAGCCTCTGCCCGCCTCCGCCTCCGCCTCCGCCTCCGCTCTAGACGTCAGTGCCTTGAAGCAGAAGGCACTGAATAAATGCCTTGCGTATTGAACACTTCTTTCTTGGGGTGCTGTCCCCCATATCAGGGTTTGAACTCAGGTTCTTTCTTGGGGTGCTGCCCCCCATATCAGGGTTTGAACTCAGG